AGAAGAGAAAATAATGAACAATGTCAAAATCAAATCAACACAAAGTCTGATATGTCTGCACTACAGAATATCATACATGTTGGTAAAGTTGTGTACCAATGGCTCATGTCTATAAACCAAAAAATATGTCTGTTATATATGCAGTGATAAAAACATGCAACGTATCAAGTCAAGAGAATGGATTTCTGCAAGCAATAAATGCAATACTATGCTATTACCTATCCAGTTTTCATAAAGCTGCCACATAGATCTTTCCCATATTGCAGCTCACACATAACAATATACATAAAGTCAAATCATGAATACATGCCACCTTTGCCATTTGTCTGTGATTCATTCAGAATACATGTATTTTTTTCTTCAAAGTCTTCCATCAAGGTATTTAAGTAATAGTCATCTTTACACTTCATAATCATTATCTTTTATCCTTGTATAAGTGCTTCAGTCACCTTTATCACAATTACAGACTTCAGCCTGGAATCCTAAAACACTACTTGAGGTCAGCTTAGGAGAGGATTACTCCCTAAATATATGCTTGATAATTTATCATAGAAAGTTGACAATCCTCATAATTCAAGGCCAAGATTTACCGTTTCTTCAGGACTAAAGCCAAAAAAAATCTAAAGTGTAGTATGAGAACTGCAAAGCAGCATACGTAATTATTTGAGGCATAATATATAAAAAAAAATTTATGTTTACAGTTTCATATTCCCATGCTTCTTCTTATTGTACCATGAAATAAAACAATAAAAAACTAAAAAATAAAAGGAATATGACAATTACACAGTTTCCAACCTATTCTAAGGTGATCTCAAGGACTGTCATAGCATACTGCTCCTAAAAGGTCCTAACAGGTCTTCATGGCAGCTACGTCTCCCTAACGTACCTCTCGGTATTCTCAAACAGTGAGTGGCTACGACGAAAAACAAAACCTAGAGTTATACATGCAGGTATTTGTGAGATGCTCAGGGAAAAACAGTCATTGAAGTTGCTATGTGTAAACCACCCAGTAGTCAATCGAAAGTATATCTATAATTTTTTTCTCTTGTCTTTCCTTTTTTCATTTTGGCATGACATGAACTGGAGGTTTACGGCTCATTTTTCTATTTCACTGAATACGAAAATGAGCCTGACTGGTTTTTCTAAGACTCATATTCACTGATGTCATCAATCTTTGTGTATGGGAAGACACCATGCATAAATATTGACTAAATGGCCTCTTCAAAATACCTAAATCATATTAGTTCCTTGTCATTATTCTTTATATAAAATTAAATTATTAGAATCTAGCTAATCAGTAACTCTATTTTTTTTTCTGGGAATAGACAGAGTACATGATATATATATCTTTTTTATAATAAAGGTCTGGATGTGTGAATAAAATATATGTGCATCACTTGCAAAAAAATACTGAAAAAAATTAAGGGAAAAAAAAATCATGCCTACTAGGCTGATGCTGTATCCTAATGCCATCTATATAGTAATAATAGCTTTGGGTGATTTTCTCTTTATTAGACTACAAAAGAAATGTGGGTGAGCTTTATGATTTTACAATGACTGACAGCTCTCTCACCCCAAGTCTCGTGTGAACAAGACCGTCTACGCAGCATTGGAATTCCTTAACACAAGTTCTCCTTTTGGCTGTGATTTATGAGTTTTAATATTTTATATTCTGAATGTAAAATATAAATAAAAAGGGCATGAAACTACACCCTTTACAGTTTCCACTTATGAGAAAAATGAATGAGTGCTTTTGAAATCACAGTTACTTATTCCATCCTTCATTTTCTGATTAGACAATACCTTGAGAAACTATGTTAAGGGATTATGATATCACTTCTGATTGGCATAACTGTTGCTTAAGCCACAAGCAGTTTTCTGTAAGTGAAAAAGCCTCTGGACAGAACAATCATGAAAATGCTTAGGCCAGATCGGGAGCCCTCATGGACAGCAGTGTCGACTGCCAGAGGGCCGCGATTAATGGGTGATACGAAGGCTAAGGAAAGGATGTGAGGAAGTCTTACCTTCTGGGATGTTGTGCGTCACGGTAAAGGTCTTGCCGGTATCCAGGGGAACGGTCCAGTTGACCGGGTCAGGGCTCTTCACCATCATCTTTGGGAGTGTAGAGTTTTACAGTTTACATTTTTGTGAAAATGTTTCTTCTTTTTTCTCTCTATTATGCATATTAAAAAATACTAATATTTACAATACTAATCTGCAAACATGAGAAAATATGATCTGTTTTTGGGATTTATGCAATTATTTGCAGATCTCTTATTTGTGTCTAAATACATTTCTTAACATATCACAGTAACATCTAACCTAATCTGATGAAATTCCTTTTAAATTGGTACCAGAGAACAAACACAAGGAGCTAAAAGGAGCATCATCAACACACATGCCTTCTACAAAGGGACAGTAAGAGGACCCACAGAGGAGTCCTGAAACTAAATTCCTAAGCTTTATATACTATCTCATATTAGAACAAGCTGCTTATGATATCAGTTTTCTAAGAATTTGAATATAATAAAATGATAGAAATAATTCAAACGGACAATATGCAACCCAATGTATGTTGATTTCTTCTTTTCTGTGGACAACAACTAAAGCATATAACAGTATGTAACATCTAGCAACACATAAAGCTTCACAAGTATTAACAACCTCTTTACAGAATCGGAATATCATGATTTTCATTATTTCCTCCATTATCATTTATACATGACTGCTATGTTAAATTTAAATATGTATGTATCAGGAGTACAATTTTTTCTTTCCCTCATACACTCTCTCTCATACTTCCTCTAAAATAGCTTTATGAATCACCTGAGTTATCATATATACATAGCTTCATGTCTGGATTAAGACCTGCATTTCTTTTTAATACTCTATATGACTGCTACAGCTAAATATATCTAGTCTTTTTCTGACAACTTCTCTTATCTATGTCTGCGTTGTACACCAACTTTCCCACAAAGAGATTAAACTCTTACATTTGTTTTTCTGTTAGTTCATAATCAAGATTCCATTTGCTATATGTACAGTATAAACAGGAATATGGAATGAAATGAACATAAAGGAATAACCTATGAAAAAAAACCTATGATAAACTTTCAGGAATATGTAGATTCATGAGCCTATGAAAGTAAAAAAACTGTGCAAATCTGTTTCTAGAACTGTAACGTTTAAGAATTTACAAATTTTTCCTTCAATGCAAACACAAAACTATAAACACTGTGGAATCACTACACACATCTAAACTCCACAATGAGAAAACAAGAGAGAGTGTAAAAAGTCCTGCGAAAACATACCCATTTACCAACCTGGTCTGGTGACTTGACTCGGGTAGGCTCTGGGGGAGTCTTGACCACTGGTTCGTACTTCTCGGGGTCGAATCTGGGCTCGGGGGTCGACTTCCTTGCGCTGGACTCCTTCACAGCCTCAACGGGTTCCTTGGGGCTGTCTTTAACTCCATCCTTCGCAATGTCCTTGGGTCCATCCTTGGGCACAATCTCCTTTTCTTTGTCCTTCTTAGAGTCAGTTTCCTCACCTGTTGAGATAACATATGTTAACAAGTGAACATGTTTCTGCTAATAGAGCCCAGGATAGTTAACTATCAAGCATGAATCTATTATTCTATGCATTAATTCTATGGGGCATTTACAGGCCACTGTTTGCCCAGCACTGTTGTCTTAGAAAGCCGTTATGCTATCTTAGCTATAGTGAAAACCATGCAAAGGAATATCTAAAGAAATATAGTACACCAATCATCTGGGAAATTGCTTTCTTTTCACACTACATCAAGCGTTATTGAAAATCTAGCGCAATTCTTTGCAGATTAGTGCTTAAATATCCTAAGCAGCTGCTAATAAACAAAAAATGTGAAGTATATTCTCCTGTCTTGTGACTTCAACATAAGAAATAAAGAATTAATTGGTATCATATTAGCAGTCTACATTTGTGCAACCAAAAAAAAAGCATGGAAACCAAACCATTAAATCAAAGAATTCTGACCAAGTATAAAAAGAATTTTAAAAACAAGAAAAAAAAAAAAAAAAAAAATAATCAAAATAAACAGATTAGTACTGGTAGGGTACACTAACGAATTCCATCTCTCAGGCAGGAGTATGTATTTTGTGTCCCTGTGCTTCAGTCACAACACCCACGCTAACATGACACTTCTGAAGAGTTCTGAGCAGCGAACAATATTCACCATGTATAAGTGATAAACAGTTCTGTAGTTCTCTACTGCTGCTTTCAGGACATGAAGTTACAGTGTTTACGTGGCTCAGTAGACTGAATGTCGGGGTGTTTATCCATAACATAAAGTGCTCTTGTCATTAACAGGTGCAAACTAAGTATACCTTCCAATTACCACATTTCCATCTCTTTCCAAGAATAATTACAAAATCAAATGGATATTTCTCTGTTCCTCTTTATAAAGGAGGTAACTGTTTTAAGATAAAAGGAACCAACACCTTAAAACACATGAAAATGCATTCAAACGAAGCCTGAAGAACACTGCTATGAAATCAACCACATTGGATAAATGCACTTCAACTAAGTAACACCAAGATAACAGGATGAAGGAATAAAACAAAATCAACATTTCCAAAAGTACATGACACATGAGGAAGGTGTATCTATCTTCCTACTTAATCTAAGGTAGGAAACATTTATTCTTGTAATGACAGGGTCAAGGGAAAATGAGCAACTATATTACTTTCATCATTTTAATCAAATAGTATTCATTACTAATCTTTTCTTTCTAGGTCATATTTAATGACTTTACTTATCATCATTAAATTTGGTCTAAAAGCACAAAATTCCCAAATATTGAAAAGGCTTTGTGTAAAACAATGCATTAATCCCATTATATAACTTCCTTTTCCAAACAAATGAATTGTTTGTTTGTGCATAAAGAAAAACTTCAATACTTTCCCTCTACCCTGCGGGACAGGCGGAGAAAGGAAGGGATGGGGACACACTGAACCTGTAAGCCATCTCAAGATCTGAGGATGGATCACTAGTCACTACAAGACACTCGTATAATCCGACCCCCGTTGATCTACCATCTGTAAGAAGCAGCAGGAGAATGGGATAACACCTTTATATAAGAAACAATAAACATGAATATACTTTTTGACTTCATTTTGCTTTTTTATTATTTCTTTAAAATTTAATTATTTTGTACTGATTGGAAGAAAAAAAAGAAAAAAAAATCCTATATTTCCCCTAAGTCTCTCTTTTCCAATTGTTCTGTTTTATTCAAGCCAGCGAACCCCCCCACCCTAAAAAAAAAAAAAAAAAAAAAAAAAAAAAAAAAAAAAAAAAAAAAAAAAAAAAAAAAAAAAAAGTACACCGCCCCCTTCAGAAGACAAACGTGGTAATCGGATTAACGAAGTGCAGCAGATTGGAACAATAAACAGAGGAAAACTGTTTCCCACCAGTACTACTTACTAATTTGCACCTTTCAATCCTACTTACTAATCTGTTTTTTCTCCACTTTGCTCTTGTCCTCACCCTTCCTAGGCGAAGCAGTGTGGTCATGAGTCTTAGCTTTAGAGGCTTTCTTAGGCACGCTACCATCATCGTGGGAGGAAGGGCGGTGGGGCAAAGCGTCAGTACCCTTGCGGCGAGCACTAGTGGAGAGGGACGCTAGAAAAAGAGCATCAGGCCTATAGTGTGGACCTGGCAAGCTTTCGGGTGATGAATGTGTGAGGAGCAAAAGCTGGGTATTGATATATTTTGGCCAGGTGTGTCTCATGGGGGCAAGTGTGTGATGCCACATCATGGAAAACCCAAGCTCAGGCTCATGATGTGTGCTCTCTCTCAAACAATTCTTTTTTTTACTATCTATTGTCAGTCAATAATGTATCACTGCCTCTGAGAGATATTCAGAAAAAAAAGAAAGAAAGAAAAAAAAAAATCATGAAAAAATCTTGATTTAGTTTGGATTTAGACCTCTGACAGAAGGGATGGAAATCAATCTACCACAGCTTATTAAGTTCCTGAATATCTCTCCTTTTATGAGATCAACATAAAATAAGGCCAGACTATACAATTTAATCATGTAGTGCAGACTGGTGATGAGTGTGATGGTAAGGTTTATGGGGAAATTGACACGAGGGTCATTTCCATAAATTTTTCTTTCCTCTTTGCCTTTGATGCTTACCCCTCTTAAAATCAAAAGAAATGAAGTCTTGCCCTTACTGAAAGATTTAAAATCATATGCCAACATCCTAAAACTGAGATTATCTGACATGAAAATAATACTAAGATAAATTCACACATATAAAACCAATTTCATTTTATTAAAGGTTAGTAATATTATCATAAACTGATGAAGGAAAACAAAGTGAATTTTATAATATTATGACTTCTGAAAGACAATGTTCTAATAGTGAGAAGCTCCATTTTTACAGATAATTAGGCTAATGTTTTGTTTATATTGTTACTTTAAGTCTAATGATTATTGTCTTATTACATTATTTATTTTTCTTTTCCAATTTCTCTTTTGCTTAAAAGTCAACTCTGTTCCTCTGATCTACTCTTACTTTATTTTAATTTCCATTGGTAATTTGAGATTAAAATATAATTTAAAAATTGATTCAGTATGTATTGTGTGCAAACCTAAAATAGAGGACAAACTACTGAAATAATAAATAAAACAATAACAAAATAATGATAAGTATTAATGCACACAAACACACACACACACACACACACACACACACACACGCGCACGCACACACACGCACACATGGACACAGACACAGACACACACACACACACACACACACACACACACACACACACACACACACAGGTATGTATGCACTTCCATGCACACGCGCGTGCGCACACACACACACAGACACACATGCAAGCGCACACATGGACACACACACACAAGGTATGCATACACTTCCATGCGCGTGCATGCACACACACACACGCACACATACACATACACACACACACACACACACACACACACACACACACACACACACACACACACACACACACGCACGCATGCACACACACACACACAGGTATGTATGCACTTCCATGCACACGCGCTGACACACACACACACAGACACACACGCAAGTGCACACATGGACACACACACACACACACAGGTATGTATGCACTTCCATGCACACACGCGCACACGCGCACACACACACACACACACACACACACACACACACACACACACACACACACACACACACACACGCACACATGCACGCGCATGCACACACACATACACACACACACACACACACACACACACACACACACACACACACACACACACACACACGCACACACACACACACGCACAAACACACACACGCACAAACGCACACACGCAGAAATGCACATACAGGCACAAACACACACAAGCACAAACACACACACGCACAAAAAAAAGATCTGGAAACTAAACCTAAACAAACTTAAAAATACACCATTACATAAAATATAACTTTAACAGAAGGAAAAAAAAAGAAAAAGAAACTAAAAGTGTTATTTACTAAATCAGGAAAAAAAAACTCAAAAACAGAAATCTTTTCTCACACAAATTTTCTGTTATTGTTATTTTGACTTCTATAAAGAAAATAAGAAAATTATCTATAGAGGGTGAACCAAGAGCCCAGAGGAAAGAAAATGACTGGCTCATTTAGGGCAAGATAATGATAATTATATTTCTCTTTCTATCATTATAACATAATTAAATTCTCCATATTCAAAAGATAAAAAAAAACAAAAAAAAAAAACATACATTAATAATTGAAGAAAATACTTATAACAAGACAGTGAAAATCAACACCAAGAATGGATTAAACTTGCCCACAATGATACCACACAATTTAGAGGGATAAGATAATCCACAATGGAATCGGTAATGTGTCTTTTGTTGCCCAAAGATTGTCAGGTCCTAAGAAGAGCTTCGGAACTTGAGATTGCTACCATACCAACTCTGACCCTCTACCTCCTTATGCGATAACTCTTACATTTGTTTTTTTTTCTCTACAGGTCTATTTCATTTTTGGTAAACTACTACCAGACAGATATTAGCATGACTATATAAATTCCAGTGAATTCTATATTACTATGATTTCTATTATTTACTGCATATTACTTCTAAAGACAGAATTAGATTCTATGTCCATTTTGTGGCCAGGCTCATCTTATATCTAATTATATACACATACTAAATGTAGCACAATCTAGCATATTACACTAATCTTATCCATCTATTGGAAGTACCAACACATGTCCAAAGCAGCTGAGTAAATAAACCTATTATAAAGGCCAGCATATTTTTTTTTTTTATCCCATCTCTCCCTTCATGGAAATCATATGAAAAACTAAAAATATTTTTTCTTTAGAGGAATTATTATAAACTAAAAAATATATTTTTTGAAAGACTAGTTTTTCCATACTGCTTCATTATCTTTATTTTATCACTTTTTTTTTTAATAGCAATGAATTTAGTAAATGTTTCTTATGAGCATGATCAATAATCTATTTATGTTCATATGTGTCTTCTCTGAGTCCAAGAAATAAGTTATACTATTCCATCAGCTTTTAATTTTTTGTCCCTATTCATATCATGTTATATTTGTTTTTGTTCTTATTAATGCTGGCAAAAAATGGGTTCACTTTTATCTAGTATTCAGGGCTGGTACTTGGATTAGGAACCAGACAAATGTTGGTGAAAAGAAAAAACGTATATATGCTGGTCAGTAATCAGGGTACAGTGAACATTTGAAGCTTGAATGGTATAGCAAACAATGTGTGACAAACATCACATCATGTGTATTTGAACAATGAATATTTCTGATCTCCAATTCTGTTCTTGTTTCTGATGTCTTTTACTCCGAGTCATTCTCAGTAATTTAGTTCAAGAGGCAAGTAAATAATTTTTTTTTTTTTTCACATGATGTTCTATTATCAAAGAATAATTCTTATGCAGACAAGCTCATTGCAGCAGATTCCATGCTTTGGTCTCTTTTGCTATTTCTCTGAATCCTTTCAGATCAGTGTTCATACAAATAAACATTTAGAATCACATTAGACACTGATCCAATGCAAAATTACAAAAAACTACAATTTCCAAAGGATTTACTTAACATTGCAAAACGGTGAAATCAAAATATATTTGAGTTCTGTGATTTCATAGATTCAGTGGCTAGTGTGATGCCCAACAGTAACGATTTTGCAATGCAGAGGTAAGACCCATCAGCAAGGCTTAAGCATCCAGGTAGATGCTCACACTGACCATCCAGCCAAGAACACAACACAAAACATAGAACGGATCAAGGAATCATTTTCATTGTAATACTTATGGACTTTTTTTTATCATTCTGATACTTTCAGGGCTGAGATGAATATTATTAAATGAAATCTAGGTACTGTATCTCTTGCATTCCCTTAAATAAATAATTAACAGTAAAACAGGAATTTTTTTTAATCAATATCATTTTCCAATCACTTAGACAGTGAATATGAATCCTGATCATCTCTTGCTCTTTTTCTCCTATCGGGTTTTATTCCAAACTGCTTATTTGTACACTGCAACATTCAGTAATTTCTCACATATCCAACTGCCAAGATGTTAATTTTTCTTATTTGGATTGTGATTTTTATTTTTGCTTTGAAAAGACATAAAAACTGCTTCTTCTCAGTAAGTAATGTTACTTATGGTAATGGGCATTCATGTAACAGAAAACCTCAATGAATAAAATCAGTGAATGAGGCTTTATACTAATACAATTCCATGGTCTAGATTCTCATTTTGACAGAAATCTTATACATATGGCCTGCTAAAAAATAAAGAATTTTCATCCATATGCCTCAAATGTTTCATTCATCATCAAACCATACCATTGCAAGCAGATCTCCACATTGTATGATCTGCTGATAATTTTGATGGACTGCAGTCTGGAATCAACCCAGAATTAAAGGTTCCCAAACACAGCCTCGTAAAATGCCAGCAACACAGAAACCATTTCTGAGAAGCGATAAACTGATGCATACACTCACTATGAGCTAACTGTGTGTAAAGCCACTGTTTCTTTCATGTTCTTGGTCTTTCTTTTCTTTTTCTCACTTACAATTTGACCGTCTGTATAACTGTAAAACTTATCCATTTCGTAAGTTGTAGATAGCTTATGTTCCAGTATATGGTATTATAAGAAAATATATCTTTAGCATAGTAACTGTCTAAGTAATGTTGCACAGAGGAAATTTCCAAAAAAGTAAAGAGTTCTATGATAACCAAAAAACTATGAAGCCTTGAAGCATACTTTGTCATGTTGTATGCCCTTGTTAAGAGTTTACAAACCTCATAATGAACTCTTAAGAAACAGAATGAATTAGGCATGAAGGCTATGTACTGAAGTTTTAAGAAGCATAAAATTTATGCAGAAAAAAAAATATTAAAAAAAAAAGAAAAAAAAAATCAATAAAGAGCTCAAGTGAAGTGGGTGCTAATTTACTAAAGTCCAAAGAGCATGTGTGCATATATACTAATGACTCATTCACTGTCTGACTGTATTGGACTTCAGTTGCATAGCAGGATCATGCACCCAGTTCCCTCTGATGGTATCAAGATCCAAAAATTCTTGTCATATAAAGAGCCAACAGATTTTGATTTGACAACTAATAACCAGTAAATCAGTCCAAAGTCTTTCCATTTCAGATAACAAATACCTTTGATTAGTCACCACATATTGACAAACACAAAATATAGAAACAGTTATCATTTAGTTGATTTGGGTGAACCTTAATTGGTATATATATCTATATTTATTTGAATTTTATATACTGCTTACAAAATTCACAATATGGCATCTATTTTAAGTTGAAGTGACAGCATCAAAATAATATCCATTTTCAATTTCCACTGATTTTAGCAGCCACTTCTTTAAAAACAATGAAGAAAATCCTTCATTCAATGTAGTAATATATCACACACTGTATGCTGCTTCTTATGGAAGATGCTCTCTACAATCCCACCTCATATGGGAGAGAAGGAGAGATACAAGGAAAAATATAGAAAGAGAAAAAGAAAGAGAAAGAAAGAAGGGGAGGGACAAAGAGAGAGATGGTACCCCCCTACCCCATACCCCACTCCTGAACACCTGCCAAACCTGCACCAATACCACCATCTGGAACCTCCTCGACAGTCACTCCATTGTACTTACTTGGTCGTGGGCGTCGCTCCGGCTTGGTCGCGGGGGCAGTGGCATGGGTGGAGGGTGGGCGGGAGGTGCGCTTCGGCGAGCGGTTCTCTGGGCCAACGCTTACGGACCGGCCTCCTGGAGAATGAAGTCATGTTTCATTGGTACTGCTTGCCCTGTTCATATTGGGGTCTAGCCTAGCAGGAGCCAGTTGCTTCTAGCCAGCCAATGGCTAAGATTATGAGTAAACAGTAAACTCTATGAAGTGCATGAATTGTGCATATTTGTCATTAGAACAGTGGAGGGGGTTTTACAGAGTGCTGTGTGTGCACGTTTATGGGAGGGATGAAACAGTACTGGAGGAGATTTTTGCATGCCTTAAACTTTGAAACTCTTGAAGGACTATACAAATATCTTAACTCTCTATCCATCTAAAATACATCTTCTTGGAATGAAATATAAAAAAAAAAATTGTTTCAGATTGGTAATAATCATGAAAAATTATTCAAATTCAAAAAAGAAGTCATACATGAAACAACAGTAACAAAAAAACAACAATAAGAGAAAACAAATATTAAGGGAAAACAATATCAAATCTATTCTTACAACCCAAGTGACTTCACTTTATAACATATATACTCCTTATTGCTTAACATACCTTTTGAAAATAATGGAAAGTTTACCTGACAGCTTATTGCCGTACACAAACAAATATGAAGAAAAAGGAGTTAATGAGAAAAAAGCCGAGTGAGTGAGATATTCCACATAAACGCTGAGAAACTCATGCGCGTGAGAATCATGCTAGACAAGAGAATGATAAAAATGATGAATTAGTTAGGTGGAGAGGTACTCTACCTGTCACTCAGAGACTATGCCATCAGTCTAAATGAGATATTATCTGTTTTTGCATACTCATCACTATTATGTGTACAAAAACTTTTACATATATATCTAAAAACATTTTTATATATGAAAGTATAGACTTCAAACCCTTTACACCATTACACAACATGATATCATAACCCGGATTTCATTATAATGGGCCACACTGTGTCAATATCATAAAAAATAATGACAAAGTTCTAGAAACTTTATCTGACCATTACATTTTAACTGAACCCCACCAGGGAAAATTCACATGTTGCTTTCCCTAAGAAACATATGGTTATACATTAAAGGTGTACAAATAACAGACATAAGTATGATCAGTGTTTCTGTGCTCTAAAATACCCAAGAGTTCTAAATACTAATATGTTCTCAGCTATAAAGTCCAATTACTTTTGCAAGAACCATCCTTCCCAAGAAACACACCTATTCTCTTTGAAATAATCATTCCACATTTCAAAAACAATTTTATAAAAAACATATATATGTTGTTTATATTGACCCTTTATATAACCTTTAGGTCTGAGTCTTTTCTTTGAGAAATATCACTGAATGTACAGTTTATTTTCTTTTTCTTTTTCCAAAGATATGTTATGATACTTTTTCTGTTCCTACCATAAGAGTATTCACATGTCCATGCTGGCAAGTTATCAGAGCCTCAAGACAGTCTTGAAGTTTTGGAGAATTCCTAACTTGGAAAATTTTACTTCATTTAAGTTCTTGGAAAACTTTAATTTGGTGATTAATGGATGGGTGAAGAAATAAATGGAAGACAGAAACAACAAACAAAAGACAATAATGACAACAAAAAGAATTACATTTTTTTTATTTTCTATAAAGAGAGGAAGGTGTCCTTGTATGTATCAGTGACAATATTTAAATAAAGGCAGTGGTAATAAGAAATAAATGCATAAACACAGCTCAAGTGCTCCAAAACCCACAACAACAGATACTCACACGCAAGCACCCACCCACACACATAGGCAAAGACATACATTCACACATGTATATGCACACACACACACACACACACACACACACACACACACACACACACACACACACACACACACACACACACACACACACACATTTACTTCATAGAATGAACAAAAGTGAATAAAATTTAATTTACTTTAAACAAGATTATCTCAGTAAACAGTATTTTGAACTAAAATGTTACCCTCTTCTGATTTATTAATATATTTTAGCACTAAATAACACTGAAAGAACAGAGATCATTGTGCTAATGTAGAAAAAAGTAAATATGACAGAATAACTTCACAAAGCTAGATATGTATCTGACACAGCTTAACCATATTTCTTGCACTGTGAAGTTATCAATACTTATTTATACCTTTTTCTACAACTGACACTGAAACAGATAAACATATGAAATATCCCATCCTGCATGTGCGCCACATGTAGACATGTGCCTACATGCCAGCTCTCACAAACACGAACACTAACAAACAAACAAACACACACACATACACAAAACCATAAATCTGTTGTAACATCACCACATTCCTTAAGAATATAATCACATAATCATAGCTAATTTTTGCTACATATCCTTATATCAATTTAGTGCAAATCACCAGGGCTTTTATCTGTCAAATCTCAATAAAAGCTTCAAGATGTCTAGGGAAACCAGTCAAAAGATGGGGGCTTGAGTGAAAAAGTCTAAAACTATCTCAAGAAAAAGACCTAATAGTAATGCTTAGGCTAGCAGAAGGGGGGGGGTGTGTGGAAGAGTCTTTAAAGCTATTAGCAGTTGCTTGGGCTAGTGGTGTCTGAGTTCAGGTTCACTTAAGGATTAGCGGCTCAAGCGGCTGCATTTGGTGGAGGTATATCTTGTGGTGACTGCAGTGTGTGCCTACTAACATTCACTGAGCAACGATTTAGCCTTTTAGTAAAGTTTACTTGTTAGTCTAATAAAAAATACAATCAATAAAAAAAAATAATTCATGGGGAACTGACTGAGAGGAATGAGATACTTTGCTCAGAGAAGTTAGCTTCCATATACTTATGAACGAGGAAAGAGGGCTGCAGGGTCATACCTACTGCGGACCTACAGTCCCTGGTGGGGGTTGGTCTGACGACGGAGGAGGCACGATTGGACCTTCGTCTGCTGGGGCCATCTGAAACACAGGGGCAGGACATGCAAGGCCAAGGTTTCTCTACCAGGCGGTGCGGGAGGCTTGGAGACGCCAGTTGAGGGTTGAAAATCATAAGAGTAAAATGCTCAATGACATGGATCCTCAAAATAACCAAAAACTGTCTTCAAAAATATGTTACAAAATAATAACAAAAAAAGGAGGCATTAGAAAAAGGTTTCAAAAGGGTCCAGAAAAGATTGTGTCTACTGCACCCGTTGGCGGTACTGGCATCCCCGATAAGGGAGGAGAGATGATGAAGGGAGGTTGCTCTACACAGGTTTATGTACCATTCCACAAGAGACAGTCTAGCCTTTTGTGTTAAGAGTAAACATTAAGGAAAATAAACAAAGGAAAAATGTTTTTGAATTTCTGGATTTCTAAAATTTTCCTAATCAATTTGGTACTAGAGTTATTGTTTTTTCACTTGGGAGAAATCAATGTTAAACCTGAAATTCATAGCATCCATTAATTTAAAATAAAAATCAGGGGGTGTTTTAGTTCAAAAGATTTGGGAAGAATCATAAAATTTGTAATTATTAAAGTTATTGAATTAAAACATCTAAAAGTTCTACATCTTGCAAAAAGTCCTCTTCTTTCTTGTGAAAGGGTTACTTCATCTAGCATAAACTCTGTATTTATGAATCAAAGAATCTACAATCTACAATGGGTACAACTAAGTAGCAATTTGTACACCTTAGGCTAAAGATCTTAAAGGCTATACATATTATTGCACATTTATCAAAGAAGATTAAAGCTGGAACTCTATACAAATCTGTAACAACTGACAGCTTAAAGATATGAGAAAATCGAAAACAATTCAGGAAGTAATGTTTGATTGTCTTCACATATGCAGAGCTGCATCATCACAAATAGTTTATTACAATCTTGAAAGCAGGACTTCTTGTGCATGTTCACAGTCATTATAAATTCTGAAAGTTTAGCATACTATAAGTAACAAATAATTAAAAACTAATAAAATACTGTTTGCCTAGATTTCCATCTGATCACCTGCCTGGCACTGCCTGGAAGAGATCAGCAACATTCAACTCATGCGTCAAGCTTTGCCAAAGCCACAACCTTACGTCCAATGACTCTTTACAACGAACTTCCTCCATCCACCATACGGATACAACACATTAGGCCCTAAGTTACAGTAGTAGCCAAAACTGTATACCTAAAGTCATAGAATAGATCAAGAAATAATAAAATAATCATACTTCTGGCATTCACAAATATGCTGGCAATTAGCTGGTGCTACTCATTCCAATTTTCTGGAAGCAGAGAATGCCACATGATATATATATACACAAGGGCTGTCATAGGCACAAAGGCACATACACTGAAGCACTCACGCCTACATCTTGCAAAAAGTCCTCTTCTTTCTTGTGAAAGGGTTACTTCATCTAGCATAAACTCTGTATTTATGAATCAAAGAATCTACAATCTACAATGGGTACAACTAAGTAGCAATTTGTACACCTTAGGCTAAAGATCTTAAAGGCTATACATATTATTGCACATTTATCAAAGAAGATTAAAGCTGGAACTCTATACAAATCTGTAACAACTGACAGCTTAAAGATATGAGAAAATCGAAAACAATTCAGGAAGTAATGTTTGATTGTCTTCACATATGCAGAGCTGCATCATCACAAATAGTTTATTACAATCTTGAAAGCAGGACTTCTTGTGCATGTTCACAGTCATTATAAATTCTGAAAGTTTAGCATACTATAAGTAACAAATAATTAAAAACTAATAAAATACTGTTTGCCTAGATTTCCATCTGATCACCTGCCTGGCACTGCCTGGAAGAGATCAGCAACATTCAACTCATGCGTCAAGCTTTGCCAAAGCCACAACCTTACGTCCAATGACTCTTTACAACGAACTTCCTCCATCCACCATACGGATACAACACATTAGGCCCTAAGTTACAGTAGTAGCCAAAACTGTATACCTAAAGTCATAGAATAGATCAAGAAATAATAAAAATAATCATACTTCTGGCATTCACAAATATGCTGGCAATTAGCTGGTGCTACTCATTCCAATTTTCTGGAAGCAGAGAATGCCACATGATATATATATACACAAGGGCTGTCATAGGCACAAAGGCACATACACTGAAGAACTACGCTCAACAACCTTACTTACAAAACTCACCAGAAGATACGTGTGTACTTGCAGATAGTATTCATGCCGACTTCACGGTGATATAATTTGTACTTGAATTCCAATTAAGGGAAAATAACAACAAAACATGGTAAAGAACTAAAAGTGAAAGATCCCAATAAGTACATAACTAAAAACAATATAGGAATAAAAGAAAAGACTAAAGAAGAAGAAGAGAAAAAAAGAAAAGAAAAAATGAGAGAGAAGAACCATAATATGCCTGAATCTGGTCTGGTTATAAGTGATCACACAAAACGTCACACTACCTTTGACGGGACTTGTGATTGGTGGAGTCCTTCGTGATGAGCGTCGGGTGGACCAATCATCGGGGATGAATGGTTCAAGCTTGTCACGTGAAGGCGAAGTGATCAAAAGACCCTCCTCTGAGACCACAACACAGAAAACGGTCAACTAACACGAGGCAAGAATAACAGAACTTCTCTGGGGGGGATCCATGAGGTCAAAATTCATGGGAAATGCATTTTTGTGATGATTTGGAAAAAATAATAAATGGGGATAAATTATAAATCAAAGAAATAATAATGCTAGTAATGATTAAAAAAAAAAAGAAAAAAAAAAAAGAATCTGCAGTGCTGTGCTGTACATAGCTATCTACAGTTGGTGAAAAGAGAACATTGATCTACGTGTGATATTTGGTTTGAATACGTCCCTTAGCATTTCCATAGATTTTTGCCCACATTCTGCTCGTGAAGATAAACCTTTGAGACGTGTCATGCACACCATGCTACCACTACGCGACTAGCCCAGTTCCAAGGACACACCTAGCACTGTATTTACATTTTTTTTTGCTTCATCTACATATCTCTGCTTCCATTAGTATTGTATTTAATTCAAGACATTCTCTTAGAGGTACAAACAAACAGCGGTAAAAAAAAAATTATATATATAAAAAAATAGGAGATGTAAGTGTTTCACAATAACCATCAAGAACACAGAAGAAATTTCCAAGAAAACCATAAAATCATAACGTCTAACACCATATGGAAACACTCTAGGTGAAAGAGTAGACGCTTTTAAACACTTTGAAAAAGAAAGAGAGTGAGAGACAGAGAG